TCCTTCGGATGAGATGTAAAACTGAGGTCCTGACTCTCTGTGGTCATTAAAAATCCCAGGGTGTTTCTCTAAAAGAGAAGGGGTGTAACCCCAGCGTCCTGGCCAAATTCCCCATGCCTCCTAATAATCCCCCACTATGAGTTGGCTACATTACTTTGTTCTCCTCCCCCCACCCCCCTATGACGGCAGGCAGAGCGACACGCCGGTTGGAGTATTCTTGGTCACATTTAATGGCATAGTCAGCTCAAAGATTTGGTTCAAACCACCAAATGGAAATGGGCGTGCCTGACGCGGGATTAACGCTAGGATGTGAGAGATGAATTGGCTTCATTTCTCTGCTCTCCTCCCCAATGATAGCTGATGTGTGGTGAGCGTTCTGGTGCACTATGGCTGCCGTCGCATCATCCAGGTGGATGCTGCACATTGGTGGTGGTGGAGGAGATTACCTGTAAAGTGCTTTGAGTGGAGTGTCCAGAAAAGCACTATATAAGTGTAAGCAATTATTAATTATTATTAAATTACTTTTGTAAAATCACCCCCTGTCCTTAATTCAGACCAGTTATATAGAGAAAGCCAGTAACTTTTCTGCATTGATATATTAAACCTGTTTTAACCAAAACCCTATGAAAAAAAACAGCTGAATTAAGATAATAAATAATCAATTATTTAAGACTGCAAGTAAAAACTGAATCTACAAGGAGATTCAGACAAAAGCTGCATCACAATCGTTCAGCACATGAGACTGGGGTCTAGATCTTATAAGAACCTACAAATCTTGATTAATGTCAATGAGCGCAAATTGTCATCCAATATAAACCTAAACTCACTAGATGTGTATATTTGAATACCAACAAACTGGACTGTCATTGTACTTTAAGACATGTCAATGTAAAATATCAATGTCAACTTCAATATGATCAGCACTGTATTTGTGAGAATGGAGTTGGAGCTAAGAAGTAAACTGATGTCGTTCAGTCAAAGGGCTACTAGAAATGCTCTTCTTTGGCTCAACCTGTAGTAGATCCTCAGATCGGGTGGGTATACAAAAAAAAAACTAACAACTGATTGTCCACTTTAGCACATACATACATTATTTTGGAAGCTTCCTACAAATGTACAATTTGGCACAGCCAATAAAAACAAATCATGAAGCCAAGCCTTCCAAGTTAGTATTTAATACTGGTTTCAGGTGACCACAATGACCTCTAAGAACTCTAATGTCATAATCTGTAAATACATTTAAATATGTTGCTCTTTATAGACAACATTGAATATAATCATGGTTTTGCACAATTGCTTCCAGAAGATGTGATTTAATGTGTTAACACATATTTCAAACTCCAGTCAAAAGACAAAATCTGAAAATAGAAATCATTTTATTCTTGCTTAACAGTTATGGGTTCTTGCAAAGAGGTTAAAACACTTGATGTTCTGTATAAATAACCTACAATTACAAAAATGATCACTTTAACTCTCTTTCCCTATGAAAAGAACAGAACCAGGGCATTACCTGGGATTTATTTACCTAATTAGTAATAAAATTAAAAACCTTAAGAAATAAAATTCAGTTGAATTAGCATTCAATCTGCAATAAATGAACCATACAATGCATATAACATATCTTTCTATTCAGAAACGTGAGCTCCCTCACAGCCACAACTAGCTGTCAGATATAGGAGACAAGCAGCCCATTCTACTGACAAAATCTCTGCTACAGCCTGTATGTACGTAAGTTTTATGTTTCACGAGCCATGGCCAAGTTCAATGGTGAGATTATCATTTTAGCAGAAAAGAAGTGGTTCTGTCATGAAAAATGTACGAAATCTCAACCATGTGAGAGGGCAATGTAGCTGTTAACTTCATGATAAACTCAACCATTTAATACTCCAGTTTGCCCATCCAACAATCTGCCAAACAGAGTGACATCGACGTGATGAAGACCTTCATAAAGAGATTGAAAAGTGCTGTCAATTTCTATAACTTGATGCGACACTCTAGTTGTTCGTGCCAGTAACTCACTAGAGAGATGATAGCCCGGTGTGTTTTACATGATTGAGTTTTGCACATCTTTGGTTGAAACCATTCCAGATTTGATTTCACAGTTTTTTCCAGTATGTCCTGCACCCAGGCTTAAAACCCGGTATGACTGAGAAGGGTGGAGAGGGTGCGTGTGGCTAGGGATCGGAGAGCGAAGGTGGGGACGGTCACAGAAGTCAGCAGGTAAAGCTGGTGCTGAGGGGTCTGCAGGGCAAAGCATTTGCACTCGTCAGTAGCCAGGTAGAACTGCACTGGCTGATGGGAAAATCCAGCAGGGAAGTCCTCCTCCAGTCCGTCTACGGAGCGATGCTCCTCCTGTGCGTCCTCTGCCAAAAAGTAGCGGGTGATTGCAAGCGTGTACAAGGCACGGAGCAGCTCCCGTCTGCGGGCAGGCAAGGGGACGTCGGCAGGAGCGCCTGCCCAGAGGTGCACAGTGGAAATGGCGCGACGTGACTCGCGGTTGATCAGCAGCAGCCCAAGGATTCCGTGCTGTAACGTCACTGAGCTGGGCAGGCAGCGGTCCCTCAGAGCCAGGCAGCCATGCAGCGTGTCGATTACAGGAGACCAGAACTGGACGACCAGCTCACTCTCAGCCTTCTGCAGAGATGGACTTGGCCCACAAAGCACGCACACATCTAACCCAGGGAGCAGCTGGAAACAGAGGAGGCGATGGGGCACAGTGGGGCTTCCCTGTGGCAGGAAAACAGGGTAATCCCGTGAAATTGTGCCATCCAGGGTGCGCACCAGAGCAGAGAGAAGCACCACTTCCTGGGGGGCCAGGCGCCACCACTTCTCGGTGGCAACTATAATCTTGCCGTGGGTCAGCAGGCAGCCAAACTCGCTGTCAGCAGCGTGAGCAAAGGAGTCCAAGACCTCTTGTAACAAGGCAGGCTGCAAGGGCACCACACAGTCCGCACAGTGCATGAGGTCGCCCATCCCATCCCACTCACCCTCCAGGAAGGCGTCAATGAGCCGGTAGCAGGAACGGAGGTCCCTTTTCAGCCGCTCCACGTTCCTGGCACTTGCCAGCTCGTCCAGCCCCAGCACCAGCACCATGGCATTCCAGGAGTTCTCCAGCAGGCGGCGGAGCCGCAGCTCGCTCACGGCGCCGCTCTCCTGGCTGCTGACCGCGATCAGCACCACGGTGTCATGGAAGACCCGCCACAGCACCCTGCCGCCGCGGTCCGTCACGCAGCTCGACAGCACTGTCCCCTGGCCCCCACCAAACATGTGCACGCCGTTCAGGGATCCAATGATGGAGAAAGGCAGCGGCCTGGTTGCGCCTCGGCAGAAGAGAGGCACTCCGCTGCTGGCAGTCAGGCACAGCAGCTGCACTGAGCCGCCCTGAAGCATTGTACACACAACCACAGGCCAATAGCAGAAGAATCACAGTGGCCAGAAGAAGACTAGTAGAGGTTTTGAGAAAGCAACAGAACTGCCAAGTCTCCACTCTGCTCAGTCTTTGGGTTTAGCTAGTTCTGTTGTTCTCGTTTATCATCCCCACTTGAATAGTCAAGAACGTCCTTGCTTCTCAGCAGTCAAAACTCTAACTGGACCGAGCCCAGAGCGCTGTGTTGGGTTGCAATGTTGCAACCCACTTAGATTTCAAAATTGCAAACTGTACTGTTTCAAGTCTCTGAATCGTTACCACAACTTCAGTACGCTAAACAAGAAATAGTGGGGGGTTTTTTTTGTACAAAAACGCAGGAAGAGAGATATTAAGGCAATTTTACTGAACGAAACCTCACTGCACCTCCTTAAATATGGAGGATTCTTTCAGCGCTCGATGTATCACAGAAAGCGTTTCTCGGTCTACAAACTGCCACAGGGCGTTCAATTAAAATCTACATATTTACCTTTGTTTTTTTGTTTAATGAACACTACGCAAGAGACTGATTTAGCCCCTTAATATTACTGTGATTATCATAACTCTACCTGGATTTAAATGAATGCTTATTGTCCATAAATTCTAAATTCCCGGTGTTGTTGTCTACGTAGTGCAGTCGATCTTTGCGGTCACACTGAGAGCTCCGCAACCTGTGCTGTATGTATTGTACCGAGTCTTTATTTCAATGAAGGTAGCATCATTTCAATCTTGTCAAAATGACAATTTATACGAAATAACAAAGCAGGACACAAATCCGCATATCATTCCGTTTCGAGGCGAGCCTCCGATGTTTAAGCTTATAAAATCCATTTTCGTTGTTGCTACTCCACAAATGCTAAAGATTTGTCACATTATCTTACAATTATAATCCTTCTCTTCAGTCCAAATTTCGCTTTCCCAGCATTGGATCAGAAACCTCCAAGCCCTGCTCGTCTTGAAGCGGGAACAAAACTGAAATGATATTAAACGACTGGTCACGGCTCTGCCTGTAAGGATAATGCAGTTTCTTAATTAAAGCAATCCACGGACGTTCAAATTTCCAAAAAGCTTAGCATAACATATACAACTAATGATTACAGGAAACGCCGCTTTGTCTTCATTCTCGTTGTCCCACGTATGCGTTTCAACACAACTCAAACTTGTGCACCGTTTCCACAGCAACCACACACTTCTCCAATGTCGTTTTGCGTTCTTACGATTCTCAGTATGTCGTTCGTCATTTTGTAGGCTTAATATTCGTGAAAACGGGAATTGTAGTTTTTATGGGTAGCTTTTCAAAGGAGAGTTTTAAACCCTGGCACAATCTGGACTTCAGTAGATTGACGTACTTAAGACCCCCATCATATTGCTTTTGCGACCTTTGCAACTGTTGATAAGATCTCCCCTAACCAGTGTCATACTCAGAAGAAAATTAACTCTTTTATGGTGACTTTCACAAATACTAACAATGTTTGGAATTTTTGTTTGACCACAACTAGTTTGTTTATACACATTTTACACACAAAATCATTGAAATATTACAAGGAATATGACACCATTAGGTTCATTTGCCTGATTTATTTTTTAAGCCATAACTAGGACAGCATTTCTTGATCCCAGAGAGTCAGATTTAATCAACTTTCCTCACAATATTTCAAGTTGGAGACTAAGGATTTTCATAGCATTTAATTAATATCTTAAACTATTCTGCATGCGACTTTGAAATACAATTGTTTTTTGTAGATCCACTTTTCAGCATGAATTCCACACCAATTTGTCGCATCAGAAGAAATCACAGAGATTTAAAACATTATTTGACCAGTTTGAGCAGACCAAAGATAATCCATTTCAAAGTTATTCAGATTTCTAACTTTGAGAAAGTAAGACAGTTCACAAGAAACAAAATCCACATACCGTGCTGCTGTATTTTTCAAAAACATGATGCCACTTCCTTTAAAGACTCATGCTGTGGTCAGACCAAGAAAGAGAACAAGATATAAGATGGACAAAATGTTAAAACTGCAGTGCAGCAGTCAGACGGTGCTGACTCTGCAAACTGAGTTAAGAGTTACTCACAAAAAGGAATAAAAATTAAATTCTGACTTCTCTGCTGGGCCTCGTGTCTGGGACTGCTGTATACGTTACAGTGTAACTTAAACCCTGAGATTTTGGGGGGTGGAACAGGTGCCACTCATACTGCACTGTAAGCAGTTCCCTGTGAGATCATAAGGTGTCTGCGCTATGGGAGACTGGAGGCCATAAACCGAGGCCACAAACATCTCACCAGCAAATTTCTGGGATTTCAGTGTCATTCCTTAAAGTCTCAGGTGAGGACGTTTTGTTTGGCCACTCTTCAGCAGCCAGGGATGTTGTTACCTCTTGGCCTGCTGTTGTCAGATCTGAGAAACTAGGAAAGGTTGGGCTTGGCCGGTAATACCTTTCAAAACCAAACCCATCTCACTCAGTATGAACGAGGAATATTACAGCTCTCCTCTTTATCAGTATCCGATTTTTCCGTAGTCATCTGTGTGTATATTAAATTTTTCTGTAATTTCTTTAAAGATGCCGCCAGACTGAGGCTTAACTAGGTTTGCACCCAGGCAGAAGGGATTATCAGATGGACTCAGCGATATACCAATACTGCCTTAAAACCACATCCAAGCCCAAGTGAGCAAAGACTCTAAGTTTCTAAGTCCTTCCAGCATTCATGGAATGCAGTAAAATTCAATACTGGTCCAGGAAGGCCACAGACCACCAGGTTTTATAAGTAACTTAAATTCTCACAGCAGTGATGAGCAGCAGTAATCTAGACCAATTAAGTGATTACATGATTCAAATACAATCAAGAATCCAGAGTGAAACCAGAAGACAATGCAGACCTCTTCCAGGACTAAATATCAGAGACATGATGAATAAAATCAGGTCCTTGATTTGAGCCAGAAATCTAGCCACACCTTCGAACATCCCATCCTCACAGTTAAGATACGTGCCAAGTGGACTTGGGCCAAAGTGATTGATACTGATCAGTCACTGTAGACACGGGGGGACAGTGTAACAGGTTTCATACTGTAATGTATGATGATGCATGTGAACACCAGACAGTAAGGGACCAATATTTTCACGAGGTGTACCTAAGATGGTGCTTCAAATCTGCTGTTCAACAGGCTAGGTTTCTCTGCTGTGTCTAAGAGCTGTATGGTGCTTGGTGCGTGACTTACATTTGTTGCTCTGCATGCAGTTCACCAGGTATATATTTGTATGATGTATGGTGATTTATGGCAGTTACTACATTTCCCCCCAAAGGCTATTTAAATTAATAAACTGTTCATGAGAGAAAAAAAATCACACAGACTAGATTTGAATATTTTATCAGAATACATTTATTATAAGTCACTTAAATAATTTCTAGATCTTTTTCCAAAAATAACCAGGACAAAATCAAGTATAAAAATACACAATGCGACAGCTCCTCTCCTCATTATTCATAATTCATTATTGATCCAAGGAGTCCGAATAAATCTTTAATTGGTGGGCAACGGACATCGGCCCTGCTGTTGTACTTTCAGAGGAACTCCAGCTACACATCACTAAAAAAATCAGTGATCTGAAGTGTCAAAAAGTCCTCCAAGCACTTAGCTCTAGGTCAATACAAACAAGCCTGATAATTTGTTTTGGTCTTTATGGTACCCAGAAGTTTTCATGTGAAGGGGGTCAGATGTGGTGGTTTATTGTTATTGATCAGTGGAATCAATGAAGTGATGTCCAGAGAGAACTGGTTGGTACTTACCAGTGCTCTCTGATCCCCTGAAGCTCTGTTGAAGGACTAAAAAGACCCATGCAAACTGCCCTCTAGCCACAACACCTTAAAGGGGTCTACAACCCCGATATGAAAGATCCACAGTGCCTCCTAGGGCTTCCCTCCATCTGCTTCCATTTGTCTCCTGCATAATGAGTATGTTAACATGTGGTCCAAATGTCTACTTATTGCTTAAAGCTAGGACTGCAACAGGCCTACAAGAGCAGACATGGGATTTACAGGGATTAATGTACTTCTCAACTCCTCAAACAAATAGCTGCAACACAATAGGTTGGAAAGAACAGTATTTGGCTGGTCATTTCCCAGGAATTGCAAGAGCGAGAACAGAAAGCCTGCTTTACCATTGTAAAGTCTTAATGAAACACCTGAAAAAAAGTGCACTGCAAGCCCTAGCTCATATTTTGCACCCAGACCCCACATCAAACCCAAAACTGGGGTCCTTTTCATTAATGAGCAACAGAGCATTAATTTAAAATATTAAACTATGATTGGGATGAATAACAACTTTGGGAATATATAGAGCAGACAGCAACAGGTAGTAGTGTGTTTGTGTTCATCGCTATGGAGATGTAATCCATTTAGTTCTGACCAGCAGTCTAAGATGGAGGACAACAGACTCAACATTTTCTCATTGAGGCTTTTCTCATTTTGGCATATCTTCCATTTATTAAGCAGCTATATGGGATTATCATAGAAGAAAATAAAAAAGTACAATAACCAGTGCTGTACAGGTATGTGTAGAGAGAAAAACCATTGCTTCATCTTGCTCTGTACTAAACTCTCTCATGGATACACAATCCTCATTTTCATTGGACCAGTAGATTCCTATGATTCTTCTCATAGAGATCCAAGAGTGTCAGAACAGGGTCACTGGAGAAACTGAGGAGTTCGACAACAGCATAACACAATATCTTTCTGCTCTATGATCAGGTAAATTGAATAAAAAACTCACTCCTCTCTATTAATAAAGTGCTTCAGAAAAAAAATGAAAAATGCATTTTAAGACAACAACCAGCATTAAAAAGTCTAAAAAGAAGCTTGGTCCTCATGTAAACTAAAGCTGACAGGGCTGTAAAGACAGTGTGGGAATGGTGGTCTTGTGGAGCAGTGGCTGGGAGACCAGCTGTCTAGTGTTTAAACTGGATGTAACACAGCAGTGACACTCTCAGTGACACTCTCAGAGCCCCCAGCCTTGTGTAGGGGCTCAGGCCTGGGCTACTCTCACATTCAACAGCTCCTACTGCTCTCCTGCATCTATTAGACTAGTCACGTCACCAAGAGTGTGAAGAGTTCTGTCCAGTTTAACGCACAAGGTTCAACAGTCTGTGCCACGTCAATACTGATTCCAGCCAAAAAAATTACATTCAGACATTGAATGTTAATTGTACAAAAATAAACATTCACGCACAACATCTATGAAATTTATTTTAATTCTAATCAGTAGTAGGTCCAATAACCCTTTAACTGTATGAAATAGTCAACAAAATAACAAGCAAGGTTTTCTAAAATTGAACAATGCTAATTACAATGGTCAAAGTGAATAGGCATCTCCTCTCCCCTTGAGCTTTCAGCCGATATTCATCAAGAATGACAGAATGAAATAAAATAAGGAGACTGGAGTAGCACAAGACAGGAGAGTAAAAGACTGTAATGCACAATTAAATTCTTCACAGTGGACCATGTTCACAAAGTTTCCTTCCCCCTGCTCAAATATACCACATGTGAGAAATATCTACTCTTGTTATTGCACAATGAAAAAGGAATAGATTTCTTTTTGTGGGGATGAATACAGCAGTTCATTCTCTCTATACACTGTCTAGGTCTCTGTAAGTTGAAGGCAGTCAGTTAATGCAAAGCTGGAGGTCAGACCAGAAGATGGGATCTAGAAGTCATTTTAGCCACATTAAACACCGACTGCACTCACACTTCACTCCAGCTCCACCACAGCAGTCTGCACAGCTGACATTAAGGCCTGCCAAAAACCTGGATTATTAGAAAGTAGCCCCTTCCAAAGTCTCCTTTTTGATTTTTTTCCACTGGAGGTACAGAATAAAAGAAAAGAATTGTCCTGAAAATGTGTAGTTTAAAAAAATTAAAAGATTAAGCTTTGATTCTGTAATATTGTACATCATCTGTCCATTTATAGTAATGGCTTGAGGTGTATATACAGCATATACATAAGAACACAAAACAGTAAAGTCGCCATGTCGTGTAAGTCCAATATAATGCCTAACAACCTGCCTAAAAATGAGATTCTGGGACCCAGGATTTTGGACTGCAGCTTGAAAAGCAGTCTGCAGGCCTTAATTCCTTGAAGATTGCCCAGCAAAACACATTTCCCAAACCAGCCACAGAAACTAAAGTATACTATGTCCAATCTAAAAACAGATACAGTATTTGATTTCTAAAATGTAGTAGCTTGCAGCTTGTGCAACATGAGCAACTCAGCAGGTAGAAGAGAGGAATGTATGTACCTGAATGTCCCTGAAGCACAATTGGCAGAAGCAAGACTAACCGAGATCACAGCGCAAGTGAAGACACAGTGATCTGATAGGGAGTCACATTGGTTAGTGAGCTAATTTCCAATTTTTGAGAGGCGAATGGCTATTTCAGACTAGATATAGAAAATTAAACATTCCTATTTAAATCTGCACATCTTCTGTAAAATATTTGGTCGGTATATAACAAATTTCTGATTGTCACAAAAGGTAACATTTTACATGAAACCTGCTAATTCCTAAAACTTTTAAACACTAATTCTATAATTTGCACCAATAATTTAAAAGAAGGAATACTGAAGAAATATTTGGGAATCTTCATGGTTAGAAAGCTACATCTGTAGAGGGTTCGCTGGTCCTGCTCAATTAAAATTAGTGCACCCTCACAGGTCATGGGAACCCTGTTCCCTGCCCAGTTCTCTGCGCAGACTCCATTAGATGGTTTGGATCATCCAATTAAATCAGCAGAAAACTGCTTCTGAAAAACATTACAACCAGTGGAACGATTACCCATGCTGCACTGGACAACAGCTGGAAACAACTACTCACACTTCGACCTGAGCAGTACTTAAGCCCTTTCTCCTCCAGACAGGTACTGAGCCTGGCCTGATGACTTGACACTTGGCCACAGGCTGTTATAATGAATATAAACACATATATACAGTATACATAAAGCTCAATCATAACCTCATACACTGCCTGACCTATCAAAAACATCAAACACTCCCAGAATTAACGAGTGCAAAGTAAAATATAATTTCATCTCCCAACCAAAGCTTATAAGTAATTAAGAAAAACTCAAAAGAGCAACTTAAGTCAAATTCATCTCCATTCTCATCATCAGTACACAGAAAAACTCAACCAACCCACACTCTCTCATTTCCAAAAAGCCAAGAATTATTTGGTTTAAATTCTACTAGTTTTGTGCATCCAAACACTTTCATCAACTCTGAATTAGAAATTCTGTCTGGCTTACCAGTAGTTTAAGAAAAGAATGACGCCTGGAGATTACAAATAGAAACTCAGTCCTGCTCATAGATGAATTCAAACACTCCCATCAAAACTAAAATCCAGTTTGTCTCCAACCCTGATTTCCAACACTGACTGCCATTAAATGTCTTAAATAGTAAAACAAATTAGCTTTTATCAAATCACTGCCGTCACACCCATTGAAATGATTTCAAGATTTTTTCACTCCGTTTCATGACCGCCATCGGTAGTTTTAAATTGCATGTAAGCCCTTGCTTTTCTCCACGAACTCTCTGCTTTTCCATGGAGACGACCACTGCAGACTTTGGGGAGGGAGTACCTGGCTCGCCACAGTAAAGCCGCTGGGGTCGGACCAACTCCTGCTGCTGGCACCATCCAAGACAAACAAGGAGCTCAAGCGCACCTTTCATCACAGCTTGGGGAGAAGTGCAGCTGCTCTCTCACACTGAGCAGGGTGAACTGAGTACAGCACAGTGCTGGAAATGGTCTGGAAACTTCTGGAATAAACTTCAGAGCCCTAATCCCTACAATTTAATATGGTGTAAAATAGCTGGACCTTAACTTAAACTTAATACTATAAGCTTCTCCATTAGCTGATTCTTTTAACGTTATTTCGTAATGTATTATTTCCATAACGTTGTCATGTAAAATAAACTACCCCTATACTTGTATCAAGCTGTCTGTATTAAGATTCTCTATATTGACATATGTATTGACAAGACAGATTGTACAGTCACAGCCATTATTGGTTTTTGCATTTTCTCCGATGATTTTCAGAGTAAAGGGAAGGGAGGGGCTTGGTCGTTCCAGACAAATATGCAGACAGGCAGAGCCACCTCCTCTCAGCATACAAATGGAAATGCCTCAAACAGAAATGACACTTCTATGTACATAACCATATTTGAACAACAGGTGGTGCTCATGCGCTCTCATTTTGGAATGTCTCCCACTGCTGCAATTATTTGTATTAGTTTTGTGGTCTTTAATCTGACCGGGCCATATAAAGCATTTCGCTCTGTACTAAACATACTGCACTTAGGGGACTGAGAAAAAACTAGTGATCCATCCTAATGATAAATGTCCCTGGCCTGCATTAACTCTGATATACAGCACACAGCTCAAATTTCTGTTGGAAAACAAAATTGTCTGTGTCCCCCAAAACCGCTGTACTCAGGCTAGATGACAGTGACGAATACTCCCTGCTCTTTCTGGAGGATTTGATTGCAACATTGAACACGCTGGATGGCAGAAATCATTACCCTCTCCAGCACATTTCCCGACACCAGATCACAACAAGCACTCAGTGCATCCCTTTGCAGCTTAATACATTATCCTGTCCATGTTGACTGAATGGGCAATTTGCTCCCTCACTGGCAAACATATAGAAATGTAAGAGGCTCCTTCTACCAATAGACAAGCCATATTTTAGGACCTTTCAAAACTCTTACTACTGCTAAAATGGAATGACACAGTGCAGAAGATAATAGAATGACCTGAATGGCCAAATGACCCTTGTGATTTGCTCATGCCCAACTAGCTGGCTGTCGAGAGTCTGTCAGGATTCAGGAGTCCGATATGACTTTCTGAACAGGATCAGCGAGTGTGCAGTTCAGTGCCGAGCAAGGGGCCAGAGACACTACATCAGTCCACAGCACGGCTGCTTCCCTGGAGGGGACTCCTCCTCTGGAGCCCGCAGTTTGAGCAAGGGAGGGTCTCCGCTGGCAGGGGTGAAGTAGACAGTGGTGGGGCTGGCACGGTCCGTGGGGTGGGAGTGCTCAGCAGGAGGAATCTCCTCTTCAGGTGGTGTTAAGGGAGGTGGGGGCGCAGGATGTTTGTGCAGCTTGGCAGCCGCACGCTGGCGTTTCAGGTCAGCCAGGGTGTGGTGGGACTTCTCGCGGCTCATGTCACCCCCCATGGCATCTTCGTGGGCTGTGGCCAGCGAGTATGAGGCACTGCGGTCCAGACGACCCCCTTCACGCAGCTCCCCAGGAACCAAGAGAGAGGAGTCAGGCCCAGAGGGCTGGGGAGTCCCTCCATTCCCTAGCCTGGACTCCCTCTTTTCCTCATCTTGGGGGTCTTCAACCCTCCCTGCCATGGGCTCTGATGTACCAGCCTGAGGGAAAAAGGCAGGGTGAATTCACAGCAAAAGGGCAGAATTATACACTGATATTGCATTGCATCAGAGAGAGAGATAAAAGCCTTAACACATTTTTTTAAGGTTACAATAACAAGATAGTAGCAGATTTTGTTAAACCCACCCGATCTGGGATAGGTTTATCTGTTTTCACGTCTCGGTCCTCAGCTGTGATCACTATGACATGGGCTGGTGAGACTCCTCTGACCTGCCCACTTTCAAGCCACATGTATAGCACTGACAACACAGGCCTTTACCAAAGGTTCAGCAACGACTAGAGTACATCTCTCACCGACAGCACTGCACTCCTCCAAGCGTGCAGGAGGGCGCAGGGGTCATGGTGTCACAGAGTGCCCAGAGAGTCCAGGATAACTAATCCCACACTAGCCTCTAGGGTGCTCAACCAATTGGGCACCAGTGATTGCAAAATCCTGATCATAACTAACCCATCCCACGCACCATAACCATGGAGCTTAGCCTGCACTCTTCCATTTTAGAAGACCCTTATTGTTAATTATGAAATAGAATTCCTGAAAATACATTACAGTGCATATAAATACCTGTAATATAAACATGCATTGTAAATGTATTGAAATATTTGAGAGATGACCAAATTTTACTTCCCCCCCATATCATCAATATCTGAAGATTTTTTGCAATTGAGGGAATTAGACAAAGGAATTTCTTGAGGTTAAGGGTTGTTTTTACAGATTCCTTCCAGTACTGACTGGCTTTATTTTAATATATCAAAACATTTAATGAGTCAAATAATCAGAAATCTCTAAAAGTAGCCTTAATCACACTCCACAAGCCACCACTGCTCCTAGATAAAAAGCACGGGGCATTTCTAATTGTATTACTCCTATCAGACAGATTGAGAGGATTAATACAGGCTCAGCGTGCTGACAGAATTGAAGAACAGAGTGTGGAGGGATTGACACAGACATACTGAACTTGACACTGAAGCTTCTTTAGTGCTGAAATGAGGTAGCAGTCCTTTGGTAGGAGACTCAGAGGAGAAAAGTGTTTAAATACTGTTTTGTTCTATTTAGGAAAGATGTAACATTTATTAAAAACATCTCACAAAAAAGCTGGATTAGGGTAGAGGAGGTGCCTGTCTGTGTCCGTCGATGACTGTGTTTCAGCAAGTCTCACCAAGGTAGCGTGTTGCATGAGCTCGGTGTCCGTCTGTCTGTCCTCGTCGTCATCCTGCGCCTCCACCTGCCGCCCACGCTCCTGCCACACCATCGCCTCCTTCTGGTGCTCCCGGCGATACAGGCTCGAGCGCTCGTTGACACTGACACGCCGGACTACCTTGCTGTATCGGCAGAGAGGCAAGACATTGTTGCAGAAACTGCACACATTACAGTAATAACTGTACAACACGGTATCAATGTACACTCAGATTTCACTTTCATAGAAAAAGTGGAATGCCATTACATCCTAATGCTGTGCAGAATGATTTTTCCTCCACCACCACATCTTCAACCCCTAACTCCCTCTTCCTCTCCAGTACCTTCCCCTTCTCCTGCTCATGCCTTCTCCCTCTTTCTTCCTGCCTCCAGCCCCCCTGCCCCCTCTTCTCGGCTATATCACCCTGCAACTAACCTGGCGGCAGGTGTGAGCCTGGCCAATACCTGGATGGGAGACATCCTGGAAAAGTGAAGGTTTTCACTGAAAGATGTGTTAGTGGGACCAGTAGGGGGAGCTCAACCTGCAGTCTGTGTGAATCCTAATGCCCCACAATAGTGACTGGGACACTATATTGTAAAAAAAAAATCCCCCTCAAATGAGACGTAAAACCGAGGTCCTGACTCTCTGGGGTCACTAAAAATCCCAAGGCATTTCTTGGAACTATTATGGCTGCTACCCTGGTTATCCTGGCCAAATTTCTCCTTGACCTTTACCTATTATGGCCTCTTTATTATCCCCATCTATGAATTGGCTTCATTACTCTGTTCTTCACCCCTCTGATAGCTGGTGTGTGGTGAGAGTACTGGTGCAGTTTGGCTGCTGTCGCATTATCCAGGTGGTGCTACACATTGGTGGTGGTGGTGGTGGATAGACCCCATTATCTTTAAAGAGCTTTGAGTATCCAGAGATATATATATACAGAAGATATACATATCTTATATAGCAGAAAAGCGCCATATAAGTGTAAGGAATTATTAATTATTATTACCCTCGGCTGCCTGTGCTGGAGGCTCGTCTCTGGAGCGTGCTCTTGTGTCTGTCCTGGCTCTTCATGATGGCATCATGTTTGTGCTTCAGGTCCAGCAGCTTGGCCCTCACCTCCTCATCGGCACACACATCTGGGGGCACAGCAGGAAAGACAGCTCAGAGGGTGCTTAAAACTCAGGAATGTCTCAGGCCATCCCTCTGACCAGCTCAAAGTTGGCTTCCCAGATTATCTCTCCACCCTCTAATGTTCTTTTCAGCTACAGCCCAGCTAGGTTGTCTGGACCACCTGCTGTTAAACAGGTCTCGTGTTCCAAGGGAAACAGTGGGCAGAAAGCTATAATCCAGGATTGTGATACCTGTGCACTAATTCAAAATCCAAAACGGGCAAGTAGCGGCAGATCAAACAACTGCAAGCAGTCAGATTAATCAATGGGAATTAGTTTCATCACTCTGCCCAGTGTTGCAGAGCACAGGACAATTGATTCCCTACTAGTGGAAAAATGTGTTATGGGCTCCTGAATCATACTTCACCGTATTCTCAACAAATGGAGTGCACATGCATTGCCAACCTAATCAGCTCTAGAGTGAGGGTGTTTCCATTATTATGGGGGGTACAGTATTCATTCCTTTTTTTGGGTAAACCCATTCTAATTGCCTTAGAATTAAAGGTCCATACTAAACTTTATTTAAATGTCTGAGTGATTGTATTCATCGTTTCTGTGTATTTCTCTCCTATAAGGAGGGGTGTTTTCCAGGAAGACAATACCTTCATCCACAGAGCATAATATCCATTGAGCAGTTTCACTGCTATCCATGTTATACCATTGACAACAAAGAAACTGCTAAGAAGCCGAAGAACTCTCTCTTACCAAGTGGTGTCTCCTCTAGTACAGACTTGGCATTCAGGCTGGCTCCATTTGCTACCAGCAGCTCCACCATCTGTATCTAAAAGAGAGTCAAATAAGACATTCAGTACTGAGCTCAACGTGGTTCTGAACACTTTAAAAAGAGGACAGAAAACGGTCTCAGATCATTAACCCCATACAATGAGGTGTGTGGGTGAAGGACTCTCTGGACCACATCCCCAAAATTTTACATAATCCTTCCTTTTCCATGTCACTGGTGCCTTGGCTTCATTATGACCCTTTAATATCTCTGCCCCAATTCCAAACATATTCTGTAGGTGATTTTTGCAAAATAACTGAAGAATTATGGCCCTTGGGACTGGGACTGCAGCCTGAAGCTCTCCCCGGTGCTGGAACGTACAACCAGCCTTGGACACCATCTGTTTTTCCTTCAGAGGCTCCAATAACATAAGAAAGGTTACAAACGACAGGAGGCCATTCGGTCCATCTAGCCTGTTTAAAAGTTAGTAGCTTATTAATCCAAAACTCTCATCCAGCCATTTCTTAACAGGATCTACCTCACGTATCTACTGGGTAACTAGTTCCTTATGCCCACAATTCTTGCCTAACTGAAGAATTTAATTGTAAGTCTCCTGATAAGAATTGTAGTCTCCTGTACTGAGTTTTAAATGCACTGCCATGTACACAGTTCCATTTGTGTCCACTGGTTCATATATTGCTGTACATTCTGAAAAAGCCCTCATTTTTGACACTGTCAATGCCTTTGAGGATTCTGGGCTGTCTTCTCTGGTCAAGACTAAAAAGGTTCAGCTCTGGTTGCTTTCCTCTGGGCTGAGTGTACAGCAGCAATATCTTTTTTTTAACATGGTGACCAAAAGATACAAGAATCTTCTAAACGAGGCCTTACTAGTGCTGTATAATACTTTCTTACTCTATAGTGCAGTTTTAGTGCTTTCCCCATTGTCAGGCAGATCTAAACACCCAAGTCTTTTTCAATTTGTGAAACTAGGGAAGAGAGTGTATGCATTCTGAGGGGACAGTACTGACCTGTCCCCAGCAGGAGGCAGCGTGCAGGGGGGTCCAGCCATCACTGTCTCTTCCATCCACTCGGGCCCGGTGCTCCAACAGCAGCTCTGCTGCAGAGTGATACCCGTTTGCTGCTGTAATGTGCAACTGCACAGAGAAAGACAGCAAGCAGAACCAAAGTAAGAAAAGCGCAGAACAAAGAAAGAAAAAGGGGGGTTAGTTTTATTCATGAAATCAATTACTTATATTGGTCTGTTGGAATATGTGTAGTGAGTGTATAGGCTCCTTCTCTCCACCTCTCTCATCCAGGTGGATGCTGCACATTGGTGGTGGTGGAGGGGAGTCAAGCGCTGTAAAGCGCTTTGAGTGGAGTGTTCAGAAAAGCGCTATACTGTATAAGTGTAAGCAATTATTAATTATTATTATTAATTATTCTCTCATTCACTACATTGGATATGAACCATTTTTTCTACTTCTGTTTTACATAAAAAACAAGCAGGTTTTCTCCAGAGAGGTCCTCATAAATATACTGATGCAGGAGAGAAATAAACTGCTTATTCATAACAGTTCTGCCTGCCCTTCTCTCTGTCTCCCAGTGGAGTGTGTTCAGCCTGTTCCTCTTTCTGCTTCAGTGCAGCTTTCACACTCTCGCTCTCTCAGTCTCAGGGTAGGATGATCAGCCTGTATCTCAGTGCAGTGTGTTCAGTGACTCTCTCACCAGAGTGGCTCCGTTGTCATCCTGCGCATTGAGGTCAGATCCCACCTTGATCAGAGCCTGGATGTCTCTGATCATCTCCTGCTCCTTTGCCCCCCGGCACTCATTGATCCGCACCTGGGTAATACCTGCAGAGCGAAACAATAATGCTACGACTTCTTTGTAAATGTTAACACACACTAAATTAAATTCAAGGTGTAGATGATTTTTTTTAAATCATTAAACTGAGGACTTGACCACCTGTGGCAATTAAACATCTAGCTTGTCTCAGTTTCTAGTTAATGTTATCTCAGTAACCTGTAATTTCTTCAACCTTTCTGTTGTGTAGCTGCTATTTTTCCAGTTTGCACATTACTGTAATAAGACAATGGCAACTTCACACTGACCCTGTTCAGCCATGGCTGTCTCAACTAACTCCAGAGTAACCTCATCCTCACAAAGGTCATAGGGCATGTTCCCATCTGCATTGACAGCTAGCAGGTCAGCACCACTGCAATACAAAGACAAGGGGGCCAAGTGAACTGAGACAATAACAACCGACACAGAAAATGTAGCAGGAAGGCAGACATAGTCTCTCTAAATTTGAGCATATGCATCTAACACTGTGAGTGTATTTTTGTGCATTCTGGAAAACATTACCACCAGGCTGGTGTTTGCTGTATAAGTGCCCCAGTGACAGGAACATGTAAAATATGATGTAAATTCTGGAAAACATTTCCACCAGGATGGTGTTTGCTGTATA